GATTAGCTGTGGGCGCGTCCGGCGCTCGCATTACCGCCAATTTGGTGTATGAGCTGAAGAGACGTAACGGCCGGTACGCCATCGGCTCGGCCTGTATTGGCGGCGGACAGGGAATCGCTATTGTCATTGAAAATGTCAAATAAACAAAAACAATGGATGTAATCATGTGTTAGATTTTTTTTTGCGGTACAAAACAAATGTTTTTCCATAGACTTAAAGTCTTTGTTTAATTTTTATATAACAAGTTTTTGCAATAAATTTTTAAATTCTATATTAATTATCGTTTAATTTGTTTAGAAAGTAATCGCAGAAAAATTTGTTTTCTAGTGATAGAAGTTTGTCTACTGTTATATCAACTTTACTATCATTTTGCACAACAGTCTTATCGATAGACCAGTTGTCGTATTTGTCCAACACTTTCTCACAATTAGGTCTTAGAGACGGTTTCATTACAAACATCGAGTCCAACAGTTTATGCATTTCATAAACCGCGGCGTTTAGGGGATTATCACGTGTTAAGTAATCATCGGGACTAATAGAAAAATTAAATCATGATTAAATAGAAATGAACAAATATAGTTGAAAACAGTACAAAAAACTACAATACATACAAGTTATCGAGATTAATAGCTGAGACATTGATGTCAAACAACTCGCCGCCAATAATGGCCAGACTGTAGACATCGGCTTTGGTGTCGTACTTACGACTGGTGACCACTTCGTGGGCGATATATCTCAGGTCTCCCACGTCTTGTGTGTGGGACTCCTTTTGGTCCTTTTGGGAACTCCTGTAGTATTCCATCGCATCGTTATGAAGAGTGGAGAGACCGAAGTCACACAGTTTCAGACACCACTGCCCGTTGGCCTGGCATTGGATCAGCACATTCTCTGGCTTAAGGTCCCGATGAATCAGCTGAGGTCTCATGTCGTGCAAACACTGGACGCACGCCAACAGTTCCCGATATATATGACACGAGAGGTACCACTCGTGACATTTCATCGGCTCCTCCGCTGATAGTCGACCGAATGCTTTGCTTTTGATCTCAAGAATGTCACGAAGACTCTGATGGCAGGCCTCCATCTGGATGTACAGCAAACTGTTCCCTTCGAGCCACGAGTCGATGTACTTTACGGCTACTTCTGAGTTAACTCTGACCAAGAATTCCGACTCTTTCAGAGCGTTTGACTTTTGCTTTTCATTCAAACCTTTTTAACGATTGTTTTTTGTTTGTTTGTTATTATTATAATTTAGTATAAAGTTTTATAAAATTGTTTTAAATGCTATACGAGATAATGTGATCCGTTTGACGGCAAACGTCTGGCCATCGGTTCTATGTTTGACCCGATATACTGTTGATGAAAATGTGGAACCGATGATAGACTGCGAGTCCCCATCAAAAGTCTTGTCGTAATAGTTATATCGCAAAGAGTTGGTTATTATCGACATTATTTGCTATTGCTATTACCAATATAAATAAGTACAGTGATCAATTAACTTTTAAAACTACTTACGCAATAAATAGTTTACAATTGAACTAAAGGTGCTAGGATGTATTTATTATTATTTTATTTCCAACTGACATGATCACTGCTGATAAACTTAACATGGTAACCGGTTATAAACATTGTATTTTAAACACAAATACCGTGACGGTTAGTTTAACATAGAGGTTATTTATAAATGCTTAAATAAACATGTAAACTAGTTTAAATGGGATGGAGAAAAGTATGTTAGTTATATAAGTTACGAACACTATAAAAGGTATAATGCTAAAAATTAATAACGGCGTGAAAATGTAACAGAAAATAAATGTAATAAGCTTAATTTTATGTTAAGTTTACTTTTATTTTACATTATAAACTACAGTTAGACTTACAGTGTTAGTCAAATTGTGATGTGACATAAAAATATATGATATACATGCATTTAATAGCCGTATAACTTAATTTATACAATGTATTAATCGTAATAAAATAAAAATTAATTCAAACGAGTAAATAATATTGATTACAACATATTGTTATACAATAAAATTAGTGTGTAAGGAACTAGGCTGCATAAAAAATTGAATATTTATTAAATAATTAGAATGATAACTTTTTGGATTTTACAATAAATTTTTAAATTCTATATTAATTATCGTTTAATTTGTTTAGAAAGTAATTGCAAAAAAATTTGTTTTCTAGTGATTGAAGTTTGGCTACCGTTACATAAACTTCATTATCATTTTGCACAACAGTCTTATCAATAGACCAGTTGTGGTAAGTGTTCAACACTTTCTGACAGTCGGGTCTGTCCGACATTTTAGTGTACATCTCGGCCAGGATTTTGTGCATTTCATAGACCGCAGTGTTTAGGGTATTATCACTTGTCGAGTAATCACTGGGACTATTAAATACAGATTATAATCAATTAAATCATGGTTGAAATTACATATAACAATCATGGTTAGAACATATTTAAATAGTTATTGGTTAATAACAGGTAATGTACAGGGTGTATAATATACTCAGTACTATTTTATAGCTTATATTCAACAACAAATTTAGCATTGATTAGAAGTATTTTTCTTTTCAGTTAGTAACTGAAATTAATTGGCATTAATTCAATATTAATTCATAATAAATTAAATTTGGATTAGCGTGCGTTTAACTAAGCAGGAGAAATTTTATTAAAAATTTTAACAATAAAATTATTCTAGATTTTTAGGACCTATCTTATTTCTGTAAATTGTTGTCTCAGATAAGTGGTACTAATTTTATAAATTTATCATGATAACTTATTAGTTTATTTGACATAATATTTAAATTTGGTCAACTGTGCTTTTCACAATAATTTTATTATGGAATT